GGTTTTACAGTGCCAGACCACACTACTGCCAAAGTGACAACAAATACTGCTTTAAGGACTTGGTGGGGTGGATTTGAATTGCAGTCATGTATGGGAAAGTTAGGAAATGCCCTGAAATGTGAAGCTATGGCAGTCCTTAAGGATGGGATATTGTATTTTGTTGTTGTTGTTTTGGAGGAGTTTTGCCTCATTCACTGTGTGCACTTTAACTCTGCCTCTTTCCATAAAGAATATTTGGCACTGCTTCTCCTCTTCGTGGTCAGATTTCTGGAGGTTTTGTTTTGGTTTTAGTAGTACAAGATGTAGCGCAATCAGAACAACTGGAATTAAGGAAGCTGGAAGATCTGACTTTCAAGGACATTGAGGTTAATTTATAATGTGTGTGGTTTTCTTATGTACRCAAAATGCATAGTCACTTCCTCTTTAATAAAACAAAAAATGGGTAATGAAGAATTTTTTTCCCTTTAATGGTCTTGAAAAGTTAACATCCCTGTCAAGCCTTGGAACTTTCTGTGATRTCTTCATGGTATTGCACAAGCTCCAGTGCATTTGAACTGCAGCAGATGTTTCCCCTCAGCTGTGTGCAGGCTCTYGTTCTGGAACAAGGCTCGCCCTTGAAAATAGGGTAAACTTACTGTAAACGTACTTTTCTTGTTGGATTTAAAATTCCTTGTGGATACATAATTAGGAGCAGCTCCATGTATGAGTCTGCCCTTATATCCATCTTTCTATTTGTTTACAGGGGAGACAATACCTGCTGCAACATTTCCCTACCTCACCCTTGGGGACTGTCAATTTTAGTTGCTGGAGGGTAATGTGTTTTCTGTGCTCCAGCTCTCCTTCCCAGAGTCACTAACCATGTCTCAGTGGGGAGATGGAGAGCTACACTCCTGTCTCTTTGCTGGAGTTCAGCCTGTAGCCTCACGGTGGAAGCCCTCGTGTTGTCCTCTTGATTCATATATCTTTTTGCCACCTCTCGTAATTCTGTGCTCTAAAGCTCTTTATTGCTGCAGGAGTGCAGGCAGTCTCCCACCAGCAGATAAAGTGATTGGACACACTGCAGGGCTTCCTGCAGGGCACGGAGAGTGTATCATTTCCTCTGGACATTCGCACTATGGCTTCAGACCTTCTCAAGAAGCATAATCACTGGAGTCAGGGAGGCTCAGATACCAAAATTTTCTGAWTATGAAAGATTTAGAAGGCAGCATGTGAAAGAAACAAAAGAGATTGTGTAACAACCCTCTGGAGGGTATGACATAGTATACCAATCTTATAAAACTATGTAAAAAGCCTGAACCTCTGTGTCTATGATGATAGTGGCAAGTAYTTTCTGTTCTGGTTTGTTGTAAACTTGAACTACACCTGGTGTTCTACTATTGATTGTTGTGATTGAGCTTAAAAACCAGCTCAGAGAACAAAATGTAGAGTAAATTTTGGTTTAAAGAAAAAAGATTCTGATCTTATGTTTGCCATATCTCATGTATGCCTATCTGGGAAAAGTTTTCAGTGACCCCATTTTAGCTCTAGAGTAAAATAAGGTCATGAGCAAGGACACTGCCAGTGACAAAAAAGCAAGGCTAATTAGCCACAAAAAAGCCTTATGCATAGTTGATACTAACTTCTTGTGAAAAATGTTGTGAGAGTGTGTATGTGTTTGTGTAAGTAAATATGTGAGTATATTTATATATATATTTATTACATGGAGCCCTAGGGTGCACCAGAACCTTAAAAAAGTATGAAAATTTTAATTTAATTTCTTATTTCACAGCCTCTTCTTAAAATTGTAAGATGCTTAGGCTCGTAGAGGGACCACCTGACTTGGTGCCAGAAATTGGTGGGCCTGGGTTTATGTGGCTTTGTGTAACTTCTTGTGTGTTCATGGTTTTGTGTTTTCCTACACATAGACATGAGGGAAGGAAACAGACCTTTTTCTGTTGCTGTTGATTATGACCATTTGATTTAGCAATAGAGAGCCTTGCTTGCTGATGATTTCTTTGGGGAATGATGASTATGTCATGTTGTGTTTAAATAAAGATAGCTTGTACCAAGGGCTTATTTTAYATCTTGAAAAGAAAACTTTAGAGTTGTTTTCCTCCTTGCTTAACAATTGTAATGAAACATTTTGTACTTTATACAGCTGTGTGCTTTTTATGATATCTGTCTGGCTCTTTTGTTTTTTTTCTGGGGAACATATTTGGTATAACATGGAAAAAAATCATCCCCCACACCTAATCTGTCATAATTAGATTTTAAATTTTCTTATAGAAATACTTCAGGGTAACTAAATCTTTATCTTCTTTAATTAACAGAGGAGGAGCTCAGGAAGCTGAGAGAAGAAACAAAYGCTGAAACATTGAAGCAGGAGCTAGAAAAGGAACGGCAGAGGAGATTAGAACTAGAACAAAGAGTCAATGAAGTACTTAAAGCAAGGTAAGAGAAATRTCTTCATTGTAAAGCTGGGAGCCACCTGAGATCTCTGACTGTCTCTGAGAAGTGAAAGCATATTTCCAATCTAGGTGCTYTTAAATTAGTAGTTCACAGAGAGAACAACTGTCTTTGTTTTCCTGTAAAATTATGTCATTAATATCCATGTACTATGGATTACTTGGCCATACATACTGCTGTAGCTACAGAAGTGCCATGACACTTTCCAGTTGTGATATTCTTCATTTCACCTCTTCAAATGCCCTCCCTCTGGGATCTTGCCTGCCTGGAGCTGCYGAATGCCAGAGCCTTTGCCATGTCATTGCATATGCTTTGCCTTTCCAAAACCTGTGTCTTTGCCAGGTTTCCAATTCTTGTTATTCCAGTTCTAGCAGCAGCAAGGACATCCCAGTGCCACACCAAAGCCTTAAATGCATGGGAGTAACTGGAATTTGAGCCTTTCCTGCCACTGCAGTGACAAATGGAAACACCTCCCCATGCCCCTRGGTCCCTTTCAGCCTTGAGGACATCCATCATGGTGTTGCAAGGTGTCACATTTGATGTTGTCTCTCCTTAGTCTGCTTAGCTACAAGGACTTTAGATCTTAAGGCCATAGCAGTTGCTTGRTGGCCTGGTTGGTCTGGGCCACTTGTGTGCATTGCTGTCTGTGTTATCTTCCTCAGCAGTAGCTGAGATTACTGGGCTGAGTGGCAGGATCCATGGCTCACCAGCAGGAGCTGTCACCAGGAGACAGTGCAGGCTGAGCTGGTGATCMCATGCTGTAAGCACCGCCAGTTACTTGGAGGTGACAAGCACAAGCAAACAGGCAAAACCTTTTGCTTGGATATGATATTCCCAGTGCCATGCAAACTYTTCCCAGCCTCCTGCTTCCTTCTGTACTCAAGTGCTAAAATGTCTTTCTACTCAGGCCAATGGTCCTTGTGCACTGGTATCCTGTAGCAGTTTATGGGAATTTATTTTCCTCACATTTGTAGGAACTGTGAGTCCAGGTGCTGTCTGTTGTTTATCTACCTCCTGCTCCTGTGGAATCATAGAATTGTTTATTTTGGAAAAAACATTAAAGAGCATTGAGTCCAGCCACTAACCCTGCACTGCCAAGTCCACCACTAAACCATGTCCTCAATGGCCACATCTGCATGTCTTCTAAATACCTCCAGGGATGGTGACAGAACCATTTCCCTTGGTAGTCTGTTCCAGAGCTTGAGAACCTTTTCRGTGAAGGAATTTTTCATARTGCCAAATATAAAACTCTCYMGTGCAACTTGAGGTAATATCTTCTTGTCCTGTAGCTTGTTACTTGAGAGAAGAGACTGTMMCCCACCTGGCTRGAAYCTCTGTTCAGGTAGAGAGCAATGAGAGCTTCCCTGAGCCTCCTTTCCTCCAGGCTGAACAAACCCCATTTCCTCAACCACTTGTTGTAAGCATCCACAAATACTTTATTTTAGGGTGTCAGAAGTACATTTCTCTCTTTCATGTCAGTCTTGGCTTGCAGATCTGTTATCCATGAATTTATTTAACACTCTATTGAAAGCACTGGGGCTATCTTCAACAGGGAGCTATGGAAACATACATTGCAGGAATCCTCTTGACTCTAAGAAGTAATTTATTTGCTTTCCTTTTTAATAGATTTCTTAGTGGTTTCAAGAAATGCCTCATAGTTACAGAATTGTAAGATKTGGTGAATAACGGTTTAGCATTCAGTTTATTTGCCATCCTTAATGAGTTCTCTCTTCTAATACTCTTCTCTCCAGATTGATGAATTTCAGCTTTTCCACCGTCTCCTTAAGAGTACTTCATCCCTTTCATAAATTCAGTTGCCTTTCTTTAACTGTTTAAGAGGTTGAACTCATGCAGTATTCAGAGTGTTAGTGCACCAAGGCTTCAAATAAAACATAAATTAGGTCTTTCTTCTTGTTCTCAGTACTTAGTACAGTGGGATTTTTTTTAGATGTTTCACAGTGATGGTTTTCTAAAATCACTGGTTCCGTACAAGGTTGGTCTGTGTGAAGTCTTGACCTGTGCTGCCAAGTCAGCTTAGAAGGGGCTCTCAGAGGTCCTTGTGGAGAAGTCTGGTTCCCAAGCCAGCACCACAACTGTGCAGTGGGAAGGTGATCCAGATTGCTTTGATCTGGACTTTTTTTTTAGTGACATTTTAAAGCTGTTATTCTGGATGGGATGCGAGAGTGCGTTTTTGTTGCCTGTGCTGGTTGGCTTKTCTGTGTGTCCAGACTGGCATTGCCCATTTGAGTGGACAGCTGAGAGGAGAACCGTGCTGASAGTGTCTGTTAGCTCAGTAACAGCTGCACAAAGCAGGGAGTGTTGTTTCCTGACACTGGTAGATGGAACTGATGCTTAAGGAAAGGATACTCTCTTGTCTGTGGTTTGCTGCTTTGAAGAAGTTCCCTGAGATGCAAATTCCCCATGCTTGTCTTTAGCACTGGCACAGGCCTTGGGCTTTGTCCCGAGGGCAGCTGTGCCTGGACTCCAGGGCAGGCATGGAGAAGGGGGAAAGAGATCTCATTGCTGGGAGTTCTGGAGGAGGATGAGGAGCCATCTTCTTCTGCAGGAAGGTGCTCGTCATCCTGCTCTGCTTCAGAATAATAAGGCTGACTCAGAGTCTGATCTGGCCCACTGCAGCTTGTGAGTACAGGTTTTATAGAGAAAAGAGATGGAAGGTCTTTGTTTATCAATATTTGTGTCAGCATCTGTGTCTTGTTGGATTGTGGACAGCAGCAGATCTCCAGCAGGTGTGACATTGCTAAGTTAATGTAGGATGACGAGMCTCCCTGAATGCTGCATTCCCATTTAGCTATCCTAAAGTCTGCAGTAGTCCTGTCAGCTTGAGGATTGCACTTGGGGATTATGTTCAGCCAATTATCCCCTCTACCCAAGTGTTTCTCTTGCTAGTCTTAGTACACTTTCAAACTTTTTGTGGCTGGCCAGGGTGACAAGAAATAAGATTGAAAATTTTTCARTTTCTACCGAAGAGGAGAAAAATTTGGTTGTCCATGATTTTYCCTTAACTTGTGCTTCCTTGTGTGAAATTCTTCATTGCTTGCTATATTATTGTGTACATYTAAAAATACTTTTATTAAGACTGTAGGTGAAATGTTGGCTTACGTAGCCAAATATGTAATAGGCAAAAATTATGCCTGATGGAAATTTGATTTTATTAAGCAAAGTAGCTGCAGAAAGTTCTATCTGCTTGTGTCAAATTCACCCTGCTTCTCAGGTAATTGTTTACACCATTTAAAAATAGATATTCATGTGTTCCCTGGTGGGAGAGTGAGTAGYTTTGTGGTACTTAGTGGAAGGATAGGGTTTGCATGTACTGTTCTTTTTGCTTGCAGAAGTGAACTGCTAATGAAACCAAGTTATGCTGTGGCATAAGAAAAAATTACTTTAAAAGTTGCAGTATTCTAAAGTACTTGTGAGGCAAATCGGTACATGTAGCAATATGTRATAATGTCGAAGTTTTCTGCAGATACAGTCCAGAACATCCCAGCATTTGGTATGGCAGCTGAAGCTTATGACATTTTGCTAGTGGAATGATGCATAAATAATTTAGAATAGTCTGTGTGAGCTGTTGCTGCCATATTTTACAAATTGTGAGCTACAATCATGCAGAAAAATAAATAACAAAAAGTTTTGCAACAACACTTAGCAGCAGCCTGTGACTTACGGAGCAAACCTTTTTATTAGTATCATTGAGAGCTATTTTTGCAAGAACCAAAGAGACAATTCCTCTGCATAAGTCACTCTTCTTTTATTGTGGATGAGAATAGCAAGGGCATCWGAAATATTTGGTGTATTCTATAGGGAAGGAGATGGAAGGCATGAAAATTATTTAACTTGTTTTTTTAACAGCTCCTAGGTTAAGAAGCCATGCATACCTGAAAGATGTCTTTAAACTGGGCTAAGAAAATACCTCCTTTATGCTTATTTTTGTATGTGTGAGGTTGGAATGCACTTTTGATGGAAGTGCACACGTAATTCAGGTTGCTTTGAGCAGTAGGGAAGCTGTAACAGCCTTGAATGGCTTCCACAGCAGCTGTTGCAAGATTGGAGGTGGKTCAMTTGTGAACGTGGAGTTAGCCTTGRGAAAATTGCTTWGAATATGTCTGAGAACGTCCTGGCRGGGACTGCACCTKCTGTGTGCACCAWCTTTGGTCTGCATCCAGTTTTTTGGTGAGTCTGTTGATTCACACACATCTCAACTTSCAGCTGTATTCAGGGCCTAATATGCACAAACCAAAAGTGTTTATTTAAGGGAAATGGYCTTCAGTGTTAAGGTTCCCTTAACTTTGTGTTATACTTACAATTAAAAAAACAAAACTTTGGTGCTGTTCTGCGGGGCAGCACTGAATGGACACTGCATCAAAGTGTGCGAGTTGCTTTTGAGTGTGACGTGTCCTGGGCATGAAGACCTCTGATATTCATTAATATTGATGCTTCCCTTACCTCAGTATATTTTAAAAAGAGAGAGAGAGAGAAACAAAAAAGGCAGTTTGTGTTTGTCTCCACTCTCTGAGGTTGCTCTTATCTGTTTCAAACTGCCTGTGCTTTAAATGGCTGCAATCTCTCCAGACTCGTGTTGGGGATGTGTTGGTGTTACCAGTTACACCCTTTTTCTGGTGGAAAGTGTGGTCCAGGAGGAATTAATGCARCTTGTTCTCTTAGGTTCAGGCAGCGGTTAGGAAGCCCACGTAGGAACACAGTGTTGTTCTGGGGACTATTTATGTTTTTCAGCCTTTTAAACTCATCTCTGGCATGAAGAGTGGTTTAGAAACTGTAGGAAAGATAATTTCTCCCCTCTGTCAGTGGTCTTGATGAGCTGGATGGTTCAACGTGACCTGGTTTTGGAATTGAACTTCCCAGTAGGTGTGCAAACCTAAACAATGAATCCTGAGCTTCCTGGCCTGGATCTGTCTGATGTGGCTAATTATAACCTGATTCACAGGTGCAGTAATGAGCTGTCATTAACCTGATGATTCGTAAAGGTCAGGTTCTTCATGGGGAAGGAGTAACAGGCAGATGGCAAGTAAGACATTGCCAAAAAAATGAAGCAAAAGCACCAAGAAGGACCAAAGCCAACTGTCATGTGCTCCTGATGGAGCCCAGTAAGGCTGCTACACAGAGCTATTTCTTGATGAGATTTTGATTTTTTGYCCAAGAAACATGGGGAATAATGACRCTGTGCTGCTTCTGAAAATACATCCCAGCATGTCAAAGGAAGACCCAGCCTGAAGACTGTGACAGCTGACAGTGTTGGGATCCCATCTTGGCTCTGTCACAGGACTTGTCCAGGTGTGACCCCACCCCAGTCAGTGCCTCTGCATGACTGGAGTGGGTTGAGTAACTGGTTCCTGCCTGTTCCTGAGTAACTGGAACCTGCTTGTGAATARCTACCTCCTTTCCACCTAAATGTGTCTTCAGCTTCAATGAAGCACAGTTCCAGTGACAGATTTCAGCTGAAAACGCCCAGCTATATGGTGTAACCCTCTGATGTGGTGATARAGCAAAACAAGACACCACTGTGTAATAGCTGGTGCAAATTCGATCATGTTTATTGCTGTCTGTCTTTTGAGAGCTGGAAATGGAGGAGATGCAAGGGTGTGGAGAAAAAGCAAAGACAGAAAGGGTTTTTAGGTGAGGAACCCGTGGCTTGTATAGAAACCAGAAGAAAATGGTGCAGGAACCAAAGTTAAAGTTCAGCTGGAGAAAATAAACTGGTTGCARGTGGCTTTTGAAAAGACGAGTTGCTGTAAATATAGAAGAAATAAAAAAATTCTAGACATAGAAGGCATGGGGAAAAGTCCTGAAGAGTTATGAAAGCAAGTATCTGAAAGCAAAACCCATTGAATTCAGCTCATCCAYGCTGATGAATGTCCAGTTGTAATTCATAAATCAGTAAACTACTTCTAAATGTTCTTAGAAATGAACAAGGATGTGGAAAGCTCGTTAAGAATGGGGAATGCCTAGGAAGGAAGGGAGATAACAAGTTTATAGTTTCTTCATCATACTCGTTGATGTATGGTGATGTTGAGACAGCACACATGAGTAATGACCTTTTCCTTGTGCAGACAGAACAGTGAGATCTTTTCCTAATGTCCTCTCTAGAGGGAACAGCAGGAGAGAGGATTTTGTCTGTCTGTATTGCTGCAATCTACCCAGTGCAGTGGGGTCTGTGTTCTCACTCTTCATTTGCTGACCATGTTTCACTTAATTCCCTTCTTGAGGAGCAAAAGATGAAAGGAACATTTAAAAGTACCTATATTGCCTGATAAATGAGTGATCATGAAATTACACAACTGACATTTTCTTGTTTCCAGAAGTAATCTTTTCAATCATACAACTCCCTGTCAAGTAAAGCTTTCTATGGCTGGTGTTATGTTGTCAAAGCTCCTGCTTCATTAGAAACATCTTTCTTTATGATATGTACATGGATGACTGAAGACTTTGGGACTGAAGCCTGAAGTATTCTCAAGACAGATTGGCAGTTGGAGGCTGTGTGCAAATGTAATTTGAAGCCTTGTACATGTGCAGAATGGTAAAAGCATTTGTGTTTTAAAAAATCTGTTCACTTTTAATGGATGAGAATATTCTTGACTCATTTTGAAAAGTGAGACCAGTGATGCCTGCCACTTGACATATATTTTTTGAATATTTTTGTTGCAGTTTTTCTATTTCAATTTTTCAAGTTCTTAAGGATATTTTTCAAATTGCTTGATATCTGTGTATTTTGAGAGCTTATAACACAACATTTWAAATCATTCTTAACAGCTGTTCTTCTTGTGAAGTTGAGTGGTGCTTGACCCTAGTAACAATGGCAGAATTCAAGATTCATGCATTAAATTGAGGTTTTGCTCTACTGCTGTGGTTATCAGCTTGTGATATAGAATACCTTTCAGTTTTTTTGCTGTGGGAAAAGTCATGGTTCTGAAGAGTTTCCCTGGCAGGCAGTGAAGTGCATATACCACAGAAAGGCATAAATAATGCAAGAAATTTGATACAACATTGTTGAGTAGTTGTAAGATGAAATTGAGCTGCTGGTGACAGGAATGGCTAAACCCCACCTCTCATCCAGTGGATAGTATTTCCTAGGATCCTAAATGCAATAAATATTTTGAATCTTGTGAAAGGGCATAAGTTGGATTCTCTCTTGTCACRATTGTATAATCCCAGCTATGAAAACCTTGGAAGTTCTGATGCTTCTTTTACCTAAAAGGGAATAATTCTTCCTCTGTAACGTTTCACGTTATTTCTGTTTTGTTTGCAGGGCGGAAGAGGTGCCTGCAGCTCAGCAACCTGCAAAGCCACAGGCACAAGCCAATGGAACAGGTGAGCTTGATTGGCTCTCTAACAGCTCTTTGGTTCAGTTGGATTTTTTCTTCCTTTTTTTTCATCCTTAGAATCTCAAACCTTGCTTCTGAAGAAGCTGAATATGAATGACKATTCAAGCAACTTCTCTCTGTGTGCATGACTGTGCATTTGTTTTTTGTAGTTGACTTTGCATACCTGAGCAAGGCGTTTATAGTGTATTGTGAAGCCTTTAGGTATGTAATGAYACCTGTTGGCTCACTTCATCATTCTTGCATGCCTTGCTGATCCTTGACTTAGCAGAGAGCAGGTGTAATACATCGACAAAAYGTCCTGTTTTGTTCTCAACTGCACAAGTTCTGTTATGCCACTAACATATTACTACTTCCTTCCTCTAAAAAAAAAAAGAGACATTCTGGACAAAGAGTAAGCTTAAGAGTTAATTTTTTTGAGACCTACWCTGTAATCTACATTTCTCAGGCTGATGCTTATTATGAATTCAATAATGTAGTAATTCCTGAAAGAACAAAAGCCAGAGTCAGATTCTCAATCATTCAGTATAGTTTAACTTTCCTCCCCACACCTTGTGATGGAGACTTGGGCTTTTAAATCTGCAGAATAAATCTGAAATTGCTTTTCCTGTACTCCCATAATGACAGTGCTTTCTGTGAACTGCAGCCTGCCATTTTTTTCTCTTGTGCACTCAAAATTTCTTTCTCAGTACTTTTTGAAGTTTTAGCAGGTGGGAAGCTACTTCGCATTTTATTTTCAAATGGAAGTATTGTGTCAGCTGTAAACTGTCACTAGATTCTTGCTTTTCTAGATTTCATTGTACGTCATTAATAAATAGTTTGATTCTATTTTCTGCGAATCAGTTGTTCAACTGCTTCACTGCSTAACTTATACATGAACTCAAGTGTATAATTTTGGCTGTTGTAGTTGGCTGATTAATCTTTCATGCCCCTGTTTAATCATATATTAATTTTATGTAGCTCTGTACTATATTTGGTCCTGGAGTAATTATGACCAGTGTCCTCTTTGTGACACTGCTGTATTGAGCTATGTTTCCARAGAATAGTCTGTCTGTTCCTTCTAGACAACAATTTTGTGAGTTACAGGTGACTTACTTGCCCTGCCTTAAGGCTTTTACTCTTATATTATTTCCATGTACCCCTATATTATGTTACGTTTTTCCACTGAAAGTGACRTATGGAAAGTGTGCATCACTTCATTATTTTGCTGTGTAAGACTTCCCAGGTAGTATTACGACTGTATATTCCATATATAGAAAGTGGCATATGCAGCATAGTTTTTGAAAACTAACTTCAAAAACAAAGAAGCTGCATGTTTTATTTGTATTGCTGCATACACACACACAGACACAGACACACACACGTAATCTTTACAGACTATCAGTGGTTAGAAACTGGAAGTAAAAATGCCTCTTGCAGAATCTTGCTTGTGTTTCCACCTCCCCTTCCTGTCAAATCCCTTTGGCTGCCAGGTGGTTGTCCAGCTCTCTGCTCAGGAATGTTTTGCTTTGCACTTGCTTTTCTCAAGGTGACCCTTCAGCACAACAGGAGCACTGAGATTTACGTCACTCTTTTGGTTATAGAAGTCTCTTAACCAGAGAATGTTTTTACTGTGTTTGCTAAAAATTATTGTTTGTTAGGATGTTTTACTCTCTGTGCTTCAGGTAATAAAATGATTCCATGTAGTGTCAGAAGAGCAATGCAGGAATCACCTTCAGTCTTATTTTACCAACTTAATGCAGCTGGAGTTCCTGTGCAATGGCARAAGTAAATTGCAAGTTTCCACAAAGACTGTTGGTGAAGGACAGGCAGTCTGTACAAAGTCTGCTTCCCAGCAAAGTGTGGTGTGTGGGAACAGGGGCTGACATTGGATAAAGTTGTCTTCTAGCATTATCCTGATACTTAGTGCTTCTCTTTTATAGATAAGCGTAGTCACACAGTCTGTTCGAGGCTCCAAAAGTGGGTTTCTGACAAATTTGGGGAATCTCTTGAGGACTTCAGATTTCAGCCAGAAGAGAGTACATTGGAAGCAGAAGAGCCACTTAGTGCTAGAAGGTAAACCCCTAATGACATTATAAGACATTGTTGGTGTCTTTACAAGTTGCTTTTTTTCTCACTCTTTTTTCTTTAAACAACCTCTTATGTGRTTTGAGCAAGTGTTGCAGTAACAAATAATAAGACCAAAAGTACAAAACTGCCTCAAAAGTTTCGTGAATGTTTTGGACAAACCATGAAATTTTATCTGCTGTATGAAATAAGATTTATATTATTTACCAGATTTTGTCATATGAATCCCAAAAACTGTGAACAAAGTCTTAGGCTGGAGAGCTTTTAAACTTCAGKTTTTGGTCTGATGCAAGGTAGACTGTATTAATTACTAGAAACACTTTTTGTAACAGGCAAGAATGAAGCTTTATGCACACAGAGTTTATAACTGTGACCAGTATTCCCAGGATCAAATGTACACAAGTGTTCACTAGTTGTCTATTTAACAAGTTACGTTTATCTTTTATTTTTCAGGTTGACTGAAAATATGAGAAGATTAAGTAAGTAATTAGCAGTATTTTATTCGTTGTATTCATTCTAGTTTCATTTGGGAGAATACTTGTGACTTCTTGTCAGTGGTGTGTGCGCATTGCCTTCAGAATACCTTTTAAAAAGCAGTATTAAACTTGAATTTTGGGTGGTTCTTGATATCTACTAGGTGAGCCACAAAATCTATATCCCCATTGTCCGAGGAGCCCAATGGTCCCTCAGAGCTCTTGACAATCTTGTTGTCAMCAGTGATTTCCAGGTCTTGATCTTCTCTATGGGCTTGGTGTAGGATGCTGGAGCTGAACAGATGGAAGCAGTGCTTGAGTCCATGACCTCCTCCAGGGCCTTCCTTGGATGTGCCCTTCCACTTGCTTCCTCTGCTGCTTTGATTGTGCTGCTGATGCTTAAGGAAATCTAGTCCTAGTTGCTTAATTCCTTCACGTAGGAAGTGTGTTGAAGATAGCTGAATTTCAAGCCAAACAAGCTAGGACAGCAAGTCATAGGTTCTCTTGAAGAAAGACTTTAAAAACTTTGAGTTCTATTGCAAAAGAAAGTTCAGAGCTTCTAATACACCATGGCTTGCTGGGTAGAAAACCATCTGATGAGCCCAGAGAGTGGTGGGGAATGAGCTACATCCACCTGCTCACCAGTGGTGTTGCCCAGGGYTCAGAATAGGGGCCAGTCCTGTTTAGTGTCTTTATCAATGATCTGGACATCAGGATCCAGTGCTCCCTGTCAGTTTGCAGATGACACCAGGTTGGACATGAGCAGTGAGCTGATGGKGGGTAGGAAGGCTCTGCAGAGAGGTCATTTAGGGACATGGTTTAGTGGTGGATTTGACAATGTAGGATTAATGGTTGGACCCACTGATGATCCTAAWGGTCTTTTCCCACCTAAATGATTCTGTGATTTTAAGTTGTTCCTTGGTGGCTTGTAATTCAGGCTAATGCACATTGTTTYACAGTGAGACAAACTGACCCATTGGTCTTTGGGGTAATGTGAATATGGCTTACAACAAATTCTTTTAGYACCCAGGGTACCCGTATAAGGAATGTTAATTTTTTTTTTCTTTCTTTATACTTCAGAGTTTAGACATAATCTTTTCCTTGTGTAATACRGTTTTTGGAAATACATTTTTAACTAATTGTTCAGTTACATTGGTGGGGTTAATTTTTTTTCATTTGGATAAGCTTTTTTATCATTACCTATCTTGAATATTCCTATAGTTTTCTATTTTGGTTATTTGTAATTTATAAGTGATTTAACCACTGCCAGCTAATTCTAATTGTGTTTTTTCTCCACTTCTGTTTAGAGAGAGGTGCCAAACCTGTTACAAGTTTTGTGAAGAATCTTTCTGCCTTATCAGATTGGTATTCTATCTACACTTCTGCTATTGCCTTTATTGTAAGTTATTCTACTCCTCTAGCAGTAGTAAAAACTTTATAAAATACATAATTTGCTGAAATGCACTGAAACTGCTTTATCTGGGTAGGGCGCGTGCTACAGTTCAAATCAAATAGTGTAATTTCATTTAACACAAAATACCAATAGTTGTCACTTCAGTTATTTATGAAGCCACTTAAATTGTGTGTCCTGGGTTTCTTGTAACATAGTTTTGTGATTATTAAAATAGCTTAGAACCATCTGGGTATTGTCCTCTCCTTTCTTGTCTCACAGTCCTGGTAATTTGATGGTTAGTTCAGCCTCTGCAAAGTTTGTTCCTGTCTAGGGCTGGAATRCTGATAGTGATTATATTTGTTTAGAAGTTGTTGTCCCCATCAGGGCTCTTTGCCATTTGGCTCATACTGATGAGAGGGAAAATGCCATGATTTCAGTATGATTCAATGAAACAAACATCAGGTTTGTGTGCTAGATTCAAGCATTTCTATGCTACCTTAAGGAGGCTTGGATGCTGCAAAGAGACATAAGTATCTAGGAGAGTTTGTTTTTCTTCCTCCTGTTATTAATTAAATGATCTAAATTCTTTTGGTCACAGTGTATATGAAATGTATTTCTGTCAAAGGAATTACCAGTAGCTATAACTGAATGCACCTTTGTGGAGAAAATATCACTCACCTTTTTTTTTAAATAGTCCCTCCCTCTAAGTTATAGATCCTGTGATATTTTGCATGAGATGAAGGAATATTGAGGAGGAGATTTGCCCCTCCCAGTGCCCTATGTCCATTCCTTCTCCATATCTGCAGATTTTTCTCTTGCCTCACCTGCTAAACCCATTTTGCAGATAAAAGCTGAAAGRAGAAACYTGAGCTGKTTTTTTGAAAGTGCTGGGACCTGGRAGCAGAGCARTGTTTCACTTTGGGGTTATCAGGAAAAACCCAGCATTGCTCACAGAGAGACTGTAGTCTCTATTTTCAGAAGCTGGGAAAGGAATAGAATACCTTTTGAAACTCTTTGTACTTGTTAAATAAAATAAAACCTGTTTTCCTCCAATCTTTTTAGTCTTGGTAAAAATTTGGGATTTAATTGACYTGAAATAATAGAGTGAGATTTTATCCTGTTTCCCAGTATGGGGCTAATTGCTGTAACCCCTATAYCATGGCTTCCGTGCCATTGATTCACAGACTTTAGCGTTTACTTCCTTTTTTTCCCCTCCCCTTTCAGGTAATTGTAGTGTTGGAAATACTCAGTACTGTCCCTGAGGCAGCTGAGAACTAGTTAAGTGTCACCTCAGGAGATTTGGTTCACTCTTAGTTTGATTTAGCATTCCTAGATGCAGGGCCATTGTCAGTCATGGGGTGGCTAAAATGTATAATTTTTTTTATATGAGTTGGATGATTCTGAGCCCAAGAGCACAGTGGGGAATGGTATTTCATGCAACTCTCGGTACCCCAGTTTGTAATCCGCATCTCTCTGTTTTTGTCTTCTTAATCTGCAGATTTACATGAATGCTGTATGGCATGGCTGGGCCATTCCTATGTTCTTATTTTTAGCAATTTTGAGGTTATCCCTAAATTACCTCATAGCCAGGTATTTGCATAAATACTAGCTTATTCTCTTAAGTAATGCTTTGCTTGAAAGATGTTTTGTTATCCTTGCACCAAACTGTAAACTGTTACCTTTTCTAATGTTGTGAGTTACATTTAACAAAGTGAAATTCAGACTCAAATATTCTTAGTGTCACTGCTCAGTTTCTATAATGTTTTACTATTATTGGGAATTATCTTCATATCCTGTGGCTTGGGCTCTCATAAACAATGTTGCATGCTCACAGACAAACCCCTCAGCTCACTAAAATTCTAATACAAAATTCTGCAGCATTTAGTATACTTGGAGAATATCACCTTCAATACTGAAGCCTGCTGTTTTTCCCAGCAGATAATGTTCACCTAGGCCTAAAATGGTGGTTTTGTCTTTTTCTGTAGCTTGTGGCATACTTTATACAAAGTATCCTCCATTTGTCAATTCAGTCTCTTCTAAAAACTAAGACTGATTGTGGATTTTTAATGCACCTTTAAATGGTATAGAGTGCCTTAACATGCATACTGTAAAATAATTTTCTGACTTCTTAATTGATACTCTCTGTTTGACATTGTATTGCTTGGAAACTGCTGAGAGCAAATAGGCTTCTGAGTAAGTTGATGTAATTTTGTTCACATGAAAAAATAAGACAAAAAARATCCTAATCCTTTACTCCATGCACACCATTAACTTTTGTTGTAAAACCCACAAGCAGTGAGTTTGTTTAGTATCTATTTGACTAATGTTTTTAAAGCTGGCTGTTGTTGGCCACYTGTGCTTCTTTTATGCTGTGGTTTCTTCATTAATTTGGGGATTAAATTATTTACTTTTAAGCCATAAGAGCTTATTGTAGAAAACTACTTTTTAGCCTTTTACAAATAATTGATATTGATGGGTRGGTTTCTTGCTCTCTTTAACTATTTCCATAATTTCTAGGGGTTGGAGAATACAGTGGAGCATTGTGCCTGAAGTTTCAGAAGCAATGGTAGGTCTCTGTTCAACTTCTCCTGTATACCTACAAAAAAATTGCTCCTTTAAACCTTCCTCTGTGTTGGTATGGGTAACTGTGAAAGGAAGGAAAAGAAAGGTGCAAGTAAAGAATACATTGTTTTTCTTTCTCTTAYCATTTAAAAGCCTTTCCTAACAGCACACTTGGGTTCAGATGCTTCACCCTAAAATATTCCCAACTTAAAACACATTTCTGAAATTAATTTTGATTTATCAGCTTGGAACAAATTAGGTTCTGTGGGATCTTTAAGAAGCATTGCAATCTGTTTAAGACCATCGAGTCCAGCTGTTATTGTAGCATTGCCAGCTCCATCACTGAGTCTGGGTACATGCCTCAAGTGACAGAGCTAAGTGTCTTTTAAATACCTCCAGGGATGGTGGCTTCACTTCCTTGGGCAGCTTGTGTCAAGGCTTAATAACCCTTTCCTTGAGTAAATTTTTCTGAAAAGCCAATGTRCATCTCCCCTGGCACGGTTTGAGGCCATTTCCTCTTGACCTGTCACTTGTTACCTGGGAGAAAAGACTGACCCCACCTCAACCTCTTTTCAGATGTAGAGAGTGATAAAGTCTCCCCTGAGCCCCCCTAGGCATTGAAAACTAAAAATAACCAGCAATGAAAGACATAAAAAAGTAGATCTGAAACGAGTAAAATGGTAAATACAGAGGCTATTTAAAGTGTAAGGACTACTGCCAAGAATGTTGARGGGTCACCTTGACAAGGTATTTTATAAAATACGTTTCATCTAAGMCAAAAATCAAGGGATTGTCTCTTTCTTGCCTAAGGAGCACCCAAAAGAGGACCTGACTGTGTCTGAGAAGTTTCAGCTTGTTCTAGACGTGGCTCAGAAGGCGCAGGTACAGTGCTGCTCCCTGGCTGTTTCCTTAGGAACAAGGTTCATAATCCTGGTGGTCCAAGGATGTTGTTGTGTAGCATGTGAAAACAAATGCTTAAAGAAGCAACACTTTTCTTGCAAGTGGAACTTAACCCACAGGTAGTGGAGATCTCATTAAGATTCCTGGAGCTTCTGAAATGGTGTAATGCTTCAGAGAATGAGTTGAGGTTCTTTGACCACAGCTCTGAGCAAGTTCCAGAGTGGAACAGAAACAACTTCCAACAGTTTTCTATCTAATATATGCATATGAGCTTCTGATAATTTAGATGGGGTGTGAGTCTTACCACTGTGCTGAGTGTGGATCCATACTCCAAATCTGCTGGTCATGAGCTGATGTAGGAGACTGTTCCTTTAAGGCTTAGCTGAAGGCTGCTGTCTGTTTAACTGTGTTAATTCAACAGTTTGCACTGCATCTCCAAAATACCATGTTTCAAAAAAACTCCACCCCCTCCAAGCCCTGAAATCTGCTGGTGTAGGAGAGGCTGATGGAAGGTTTTCTCCCATCTCCATGAGTTGGATGAGGTAGCAGCTGGGTGCCTGCACCATGCAGTGGAGCTGTAGCCTTGTGCCATATCTGATGATGTGCTGCTGTCAGAAGGGGTTTAACCTTCTCTTGCTAACTGTGACTGCTCAGTGCCTTTCTTCTGCTGGGCGTGGTGCACACGTTTGTATGAACACCTTTGGGAATTCATTGGGAAGGTGAAATTTTCAGSTGCTCTGACAGTAAGGATTGGTCAGAGAATATGACCTTTTGTCCTGAGCAGGGGTCAGTTGTTAGAATTATTTGGAATCTGCTGTCTCCAAGGGTTCATTATCAAATCTGATAATGGTCTGTTTCCGAGAAGCTAACAGAGAAGCCTTTTGATGATCTCAGTAACCACTTCCTGAAATTTCAGCACTCAAAATGTGTGAAAAAACCTTCCATTTTGTTACCTACTGACAGCARCTCTTAACTCTTAGATTGACAGCTTAATTTAAAGTATTTGCAGTTATGTAAATACTTTCCAGCCATGACAGTGGGATCAAATTGTTTCTTCACTTGTAACGATCAATCATAAGTTACAGAACAAGGTTAAATGAGATGGAAGTCATCAAGTATTGCTATTATGTTCTATATTTACTCAATTGTGAAGTACATAAATGGMTAAAAACTAGTTTTAAAAAATCAGTTCTGGGAATTGATCACCAACAAAGTCAGAAAGCTGTTGGTTTCCATTATGTAGACAAAAAAMCCCAGGACTTGACTTTCATTTTCTTGCTTCTTGTGCAGAACCTTTTTGGCAAGATGGCAGACATTCTGGAAAAAATTAAAAAGTAAGTTATCTGATGTGAGACTTCCTTCCCTTTTAAAACAAGACTTGACTAGTATCTGGAACACTAGTAATAAAACTGTGCATCTTTTGTGTTTTCAGCTTGTTCATGTGGGTCCAGCCAGAAATAACACAGAAGCTCTACATTGCTCTATGGGCAGCTTTCATTGCATCSTGCTTTTTGCCCTACAGGATTATTGGGCTTGCATTGGGTAAACACAATAAATAATTGACCTGTTACAGTCTAGACTTAATGGTTAAAACTTACGTGATCTTTAGAGGGAGAGTTTTAGAGTTGAAGAGAGAAAACCTGCATTAATAAATCATAGTGTTTTAAAGTATTTTCATTGTGCTTGGCATCATTTGTCATGACCATTTTGAAAACCATCTCAGTGTGTAATAGGAAAAGACTGGATAATGCTTTTGCTTTTTGAAGAGGAGAAGTTTATGATGAGCTGTTAGCAGAACTTTTCAGACTGTCAGCTTCAAGGCTTCTGGAAAATCCTATAGGTTGAGGTTTTTTTGCTCATACATGTTTGTAAATGAAATACATGTCGTGACAGGAGGCATGAAAATGACAGGGTAGGAAGAAAATAGAAGCATTTTTTTTCATTAAAGTAATGATATAATCAAACGAGTTTTACTTTTAGTGGCACTGAACGTCAAATTTTGTTAGCTTGAATAGAAATGTAGGTTTGCTTGACACAACAATTGAATTTAGATGTGTGAGGAATTATTTTTTTATCCTGCTCTTAGGAGATCTGAATTGCATGCAGTAAAGTTTTGAGAGAGTATTTTAAGCCCATTTTGATCTGGCAGAATGCAAAGAGAAAACTTGTGTAAGATAAGAGTTGGGACTGGGAGATACTTTTCTGTAGTACATGAGAGCCCTCTGTTGCCATTAAAATTCTTGCAGGAGCTGCAGAGTTGAATGCTCTAGTGTGTTTTTTGTTTTGGTAGTATATCATGTTTTCAGAATGCTTCTGGTAATAAGGARTATACGCTTGAATTATTTAAATATTCTTCTGCATAACAGTGGCTATGTAAATTGTTTAAAAGAACAATGGGATGGGGAGGAAGGAATCTGGGCAGGGGAAGGAAAGAACAATAATTTGGGTTTAATGAGGGTTTAACACTGTGACTGAAGATACAGAATTTGGTTTAATTTGTGAACTTCTGAAAATATGATCAAAATAGTGATGTTCTTAATTCCCCTTCAGCATTCATACTGAAGTGACCTTTTTTTCAGGACTCTATGCTGGAATCAAGTTTTTCCTTATTGATTTTATCTTCCAACGATGCCCCAGACTAAGAGCTAAGTATGACACTCCTTATATCATCTGGATAAGTCTCCCGACAGATCCTCAGCTCAAAGAAAGATCTAATGCTACAGTGTCGAGACGGGTAAGGGTAATAAATCCTTTTGTCCCTATGTTCTCAGCCTCTGAAAATCACATCCCTTTCTCCCTTTTCCTTTTCTCCAGTGACTAGAGCACATTAAAGAGAAGGTTAATTATATCCTTACAATCAATGTTAGTTGATTGTAATACCCATTTTTTATTATTTTCACGATTCACAGTTTTTCTATGGATTCTGTTTTGTGTATGAAAGGAGTCAGTTGTGTGTGTATGTATAGATACACTGTGAATCATGAAATTAAACACAAATAAAACACCATCCATATTCATACCAATTTCTTTAACATGCATTCTTGTGCTATTCTATTGCCAGCTATAGTCTTTTTGTATCCCCTTTCTTTATTCTTAGACATAATTTTTCAGTGGAAATTCACATGCTTAGGCAAATTGAAGAATAGTTATATAAAAAAATAAATAAAGGCTTGAGTATAATATGCAGCTTACTAATGGGATAATAATCATTAGTAAAGGTAATAAAGTAGTTTATGTATTTAGACTTTATGTCTTAYGGTTATTTTTATTAGATGACCATTTAGCATAGTGGTGGTGAATGACTTCACCGTATTCATACTCTTACAGTAGATTTTCTTTTTGTTAAAATATCATMATTAAATCACTTATTTAAGTATTGTGTTTTGTGCACCTTGGTAAATTATTTTGGRGCCTGACATGGTAACTGAGTCAGGCTTTTCCATATCCATGAATTTGTAAATGTTTATTAGTTTTAAAATYAAAATAGTTGTAGTAAATCTTGAGTCTAACCCTATTTTAGTATTTGCTTAATGCCTCTTAGCACTATATCTGATTGCATTCATAGAGTATGTGGGTACTCTCTGAAATGCACAGCCYTGAGCAGTAATTCATCCTGGGTATACAGCTGGAAAGCAAAATAAATAAATACATGAACCCTTAGTTGTTAAGAAGAAATCTGGGGCTTGGGGTGGTGGAGCAGAGAGTGGTAAAATAACTGCAGCACAATCTGAGTATTTCAGAAGGAAGTGGAGAAGAAGGACACTCTRTTACAGAAAGTGAGTCTTCAGTTCCTGTTTTCCAAGGGATGAGATGGGTAATAAGTGCTTGGATGAAGCCATCCATGGCCTGTATTTCTCTTGCTYGAAGAAGATGGTCTTAAAAGTTTATATTCTTCTCACGTGTACAGGTTCTATTCCACAACCTGTGGTAATTGTGACATCTTCTTGCTATGTCTCTCTTATCTACCTTAGAGGTGTAGAGACTCTGAGTTGCTGAACTTGAGTCCATAAATTTAGACAGTAATTATTCTTTCTGGCTCTTCTTCATAGCTTTAGTTTTGCAAGCAGAGCCAGGGTTCTGTAGTACCCTGTCTGGCCCAATGGCCTTGACTTACCTTCCTGGAAAGGATGTGCAGTCCTGCATTACCTGCTTACAAATGTCTTTGAAAACATTAATTCGATCTCAGTAATTTTAGGGRAACTTTCTTATCCCTTGAGAGATTTCTGCAAACCTCACAGTATGAAAATCAAATTTTTGTACTAAAAGGTAAAAACTAAAGAAGTTTTAAATATTTTTCATAGATAAGGCAGAGCCCAAAAGCATGTAGGCCAGCATGTGTGCATTTGCTTTGACTTCTTATCATTACACAGCATGCAGGACACAGTAAACTTAGACACAATGCAATATTCATTGCCTGTACCACCACTCTGACCTTGTGTCCTCAGAGAACAGTCCTGACAGCAGGATCTGATGGGTAAAGGTTGTGTGTCAAAAGCTGATGACAGATCAAGTGAAAACGAATACCTCCAGATTGCTGCTGATGTTTTTAGACAATCAGGACTCTTCCAGCATTACAAATCAAATCACTTCCAGTTAGATACAAGGTTTTTCAAAACTGGATGCAATGTTTTTCTCGTAGTAATTGACCATTAGTTGTCTGTGGTAAAAGAAACGTTTGCATATCTTAGGCAGGACTAGAAGTAAGGGCAGGGCTCCCCACATTTTCAGCCACCAGATGGGTCATGGTACTGAATTTTAAATTCAATTTTTTTTATCTTTTCATATAGCAGGTGGGTAGGAAGCAGTGTAGCAGAGAGCAGAAATACTCCTTATTCCAGCACAAAAAACATTAGATGATCTGCTCTGATCATTTTTGTTTTGGGCCATGGCACTTCACCTGGTTATGTGATTGTGCAGCCAAATAACTTGCCTTAGAAGGCMTTCAGAAAATTGATTTCACTTTTAGTTGCACACAGATTGTTGGAGAAGCTGTTATTTTCCTTGGTTGCAGGGACTCAGCACTGCAGAAGGGGAGTAACTGAGGCAATATTACAGTTACTATTAGCCATTTGCTTTCCATGTCAACTTAATTTTTTTCCCCTGAGGCATCACTTTATTACWGGTACCCTAAAAAGATGGATGGCAAATGCCCTGTGCTGTGCCTGTTTTGTCAGTCTGGTTTCTAGTTRGCAGTTGCAGGGCACATTTTTTCATTTGCTTCAGATTTCATTTGTTAGTGCTAAATCCTGTGAAGTGTTGAGTGCTGCCAATTTAGTGCAAAATTTTAAAAAAGCAGCCAAAGGCTGGTTGTCCTTCAACAGCATTGGGCCTTCACAGAAGAAGAGTTTAGTCCTGAGCTTGAAGTTGTCGTTTTGCCAGTTGTTTAACTGCATGGTGGGGCTAAGAGCAAAGCTGCTGGTGCCAGCSTTTGGAATCATGTAGTGCCCCATGAAGATGAAAATGAAAATGCAGGCAAGCTTTCCAAAAGAAGCAAGGCTTCTTGCCAGGGCAGTGTCCAGTGGTCAAGGAGCTCTGTTTAAAAGTAGATTTTACTCAAGTACTTTGGTTTCAGGAAGCCCATACTACCTTTTTTCTCCCCCAAGGATGGTGACAACCATTCAGATTTTGTGTCATGTGTCACCACTCAAAAKTCAGTGCTACTTCAAAGCACAGGAAAGATCAATGGCTCTAAAGCAACCTGAATAAATTGAACTGGTGTGCTCTAACCACTCTTTTTTAATTGCATTCATTGTGTGTAGTCTCTTGGTTTGTGAGCAAGATCTTGCAGTGTCACTCAGTTCATGTTTTATTCTGTGTATTATACTGTTAAATAGATTTCACTTTTTTTCTTTTGTCACTGTCACATTTGTGTTGTTTGTTTCTTTTCCTGCTAGCTGTCAGGGCATGAAAAGGTATGGATCACAGTGTGGAAAACTTGCTTTCATTTTCAGCATTTGTATTCATAATGAGCTCATGCAGTTTTGTGTGGCCTTTTTTTTTTCTCTTTTTTCTTTTTAAACTTCCTTTGTGCAGTAACATTTTGTTTGTCTCTTGAAGACAAGCCAAGTCCTGAGAATACATTGTGTGTTAGTAGCCCCAGCAGTTATAACCATTGGAGCTGTGTGCAGTGATGTTGCTGTATCTAGTGAGATAGAGCCTTTACTGTTGGAAAGGGGTATTTTGAGATGGGTGCATTTGGCAACACGTGCTTCACCCCTGCAAAGGGTGTCCATCAAAGGGCAGCACTTTGAAAGGTTGTGTTCAGGTACCCTATTAGAGGTTTGTGCTGTAGCAACAGTACACTGCAGTAGTGTGAATTAATTTATTGAAGTAGTTAATGAAAATTGTTGCATTATACATTTTTTTTTTTTCAGAAAGAGTAGTCAGTTAAATTATTTTTAAGAGTAGCTTAAATGTTGCTGCCCAGATTTTGRAATAGTATTTCTTTTTCTGCAGCTTCAAACAGCAACATCCAGGAATTATGYGGGCTCAAGTGCCCCAGCTGGAATAAGCAAAGATGAAGATACAAGTCGTTTTCATACCACCAAGAGAGGGAATTTCCATGAAATTTTTAACCTGCCAGAGAATGAACGCCCTTTGCCAGGTAKGATGCCACAGAAAAGCTACATTAGTAGAATATCTTGTAAAAAGCCAAAGATAGTTTCAAGTTGAATTCCTTTTCTGTGCATTGTATAGGTGTAAGSTTTTGTTTTAAAAACTGTTGCTTTAAATTAGGATGAACTGAGATGGTCTCTGCCCTATCCTTGCAGCTCTTTGAAAGAGTGCACAGCCTGGTGTGCCTTGTGATTRTATAAATCCAATAGTCAAGTTAAAGGGAATAATTGTGTGGGTGTTTTTTWATTTTGTTTTTTTCAAAATGAGTATTAAAACAGATGTTATGATGTCTAAAACACCTGATTTAGTCTTTTCTTTCAAAGAACTTTTAGGTTTAGGTATCCAAAGTTTAATGTTCAGTGTCTTCTGTTGTGTAAGGAGACTGTTGGAGATAGTGCCTGTCTTCCTTTTTGTGAAATTAAGATTTCTTCTTGTGACTTTTTCAGTGTGTGAAAATGGCTGGCGCTGCTGCTTGATTAACAGAGATCGGAAGATGCCTACTGACTACATCAGGAATGGAGTTCTTTATGTCACAGAGAAGTAAGTCTTTGCACTCCATGCACTTCATGGGGGGAAATGCAAGACATTAAAGAATTTAAATCTAAAAGTGGTGCTTTAACAATGTCTTGAAACAAAAATGCCATTTCAAGGTGCTTTGCAACCTCAAAGCATCATAGGAGAGGGAGAGCTGAACCTGGTGTGTGGCTTAGCAGACAAGATTTTGCCTTCTCAAGGCTTGCACAGGAAAGCAAAGTAGCTCTATATAGACAGTTGTTAGTAGCTGCAKCTCTTGATGTGGACAACATGCTAACTGTGAATATACTAAAAAGAAACCTAAAACCTAAGTGCAGTTTGAAAGTTGTGATCAAGAGCTATTTGACAAATATTCTTAGTTTGGGTTTCTTTTGAGCAAGTGGAGTTCAGCTTCCTTGAAATGACAGCAACAAAAAGAAAGCTGAAAATTAAGCCTTGGYTTCAAATTTTTATGAGTGACCAGTTGTTTTTTTTTAATATCCTTACTTACCTCCAAGCCTTCCAGGACTGAATAACTGTGGTCATTACTGTTTGGGTCTTGCACTGAAGTTCCTTTGGAGTGTAATGAAAGGAAGTAAAGCTCATCTGTATTCAATGTCACCTAGCGATGGAGGCCACTCTTCAGTGTTTAGAAATCTGAGCTTTTGTCTGCAGCACAATAACATGAAACTAACACAGTGTTTCTCATTAATCTTCTTTTAGGATGGTGAAAGATGTATAACCCTTTTGAGATTTGGTATTTCAGATGAGTGAGGATCTATATCCCTCGTGTGTCTTTAAAATGCTTGTCAGGTTTAACCATTCAGTGCAGTAAYATAAATACAAGAATTTTCTGTATGTTCTGGCCTTTCAGACACACCAGCCAGTTGCTAGAATTTATAAATGTTTTTGCTAAATTAGAAGCTGTAACTGAACTGTATATTGTGTACCTCTTTCTCCTATTTTGAAAGTTATGTTAACCTGTGTGGCTTCAAACTTTAGAAGAGACAAGGGGAATATTTGAGAAATTTATTTTTGAATAATGTATTCAAATAGCATTTTCTATTCTTGTTTTCAGTTACCTGTGCTTTGAAAGCTCAAAATCTGGCTCATCAAAAAGAAATAAAGTTATAAAGCTATCRGATATAACAGATATCCAGAAGGTATGTATGGTTGGTGTTGCAAATAGGGGAGAAAAGTGGTTTTCAGTTCAGCTACTCATATTTTGCATTTGTGCTTTTGTTATTTTGAAAAAGCATGCCATTGATCATTTGTATAAGTAAAATGGAATTCTGTGATCATGAATGTTTCCCAGAACTGCTTTTTGGACTCAGCATGAGAAAACTTGCAATGAGCATGAAGACAAACTAGTTTACCCAACCTTTACTCTCCTGCATGTGTTTATAGATTGAAGTTATAGTTTGTTAACTCCAGTGTTCACTAGAGGTGCGTAGGCCTTAGGAAGATGTATTGGTAGCAGGAATTCTTAACTTCAGTTTGGGTGTGGATATTGGTAGATGCACCATTCTAAAAGTAGATGCCTCAGAGGRAGGCAGGATTGTTGTCAGTGAAGAAAGATCATTAGAATAGCCAGACTGGGATGGGCTGGAGTTTCATGTGGTTGAGACCCCTCARTAACAGAGGCAAGAAGTGGATGGTTGGAAGCAAAGCAAGGGCAATGTCATCCTTCCTGTGGGTGAGATTCATCAGCCTTTGGTTACTAATGGCTTTACTGGTGCCTTGCATCACTCCCTATGGCCTTTAACATCACTTGTTGTTATCTTCTCTGAACTTGTCCTCATCTTGGACACAGACACCCCTGCTGCATCCTGTACCACAGATTAAATCATGTTGTGCAAACAAACATTTCAGCCTGGTGTCTGCTACTGCATAAGTACCTCCAGATTTTCAAATTAATTCCTTCTCCTTATTTGACATGTCTATAAAGCAGACAGCTTATGCTGAAACTGAACATTCCTACTGGAATTAATAATTCATATTAATGGATTTCAAACATCATACTTCAAGTAATGCTGGTTCATTGTTTGGTAGGCCTTGACTGCCATAAAGGTCCTTTTGCATCTCTGTAGCTTTTTAATGAAGATGAGACAGGGATCATGCAGTCAAGCATAAAAATCTGCTGTGCCTGATTTTATTTGGACTTGAAAATGCAGATCTGACTTGGAAGTCTCTTTCTCCCTGTGCAAATTCTGAAATTCAGCCAACTGTATTTCTTCTTGTCTTTATGGACTTTCTTTCAAAAAATGTAAAGGCAATCTGTATGTGGCACTTGATGCTATGGGTTGATTGACAAGGTAGTGGGTCAGTCAAAGGTGGGAGCTCTTTTTCAATCTTAATGATTCTAAGACTCTCTGATACGCTATCCGATTCTCTATCTGATTTTGAAGCAGGAGCTTTTTTTGGTCTGTTGCTGCTCCTCCAAGCRGTGGGTGAATGTCAGTTGTAGAGGAAGCTGTGGGTGCTGCACAGAGAGCTGGGCTGTGCCCTGCCCATCCTGCCCAACTCCCTGCACTTCCCCACACCACTCTGGGGTCAGCTCCCTGTGCTGCAGTGGGGCTCTGCTCACTTTGGGGCTGGGCTGGTTTCAGCAGGTTGGGAGTTACTGCAGCTTGGGGGAGGATGTGTTCAGGAGGATCCTGGCTGGGTGGTGCTGTACCCACCGAGTGAGAATGACATCTGGCTTATTCCTGGGTTTAGGAGAGGTTTCTTAGTTGTGTCTGGGAGGACCTGCCAGTGATGTGTTGTGTGACCTCTGCAGCATCTTTTGCAGTTGCTGAGTGCAGAAGATATCTTATGTCTTTGTTTGTGKTTTTTTTTAGTACAAAGTGCTCTCTGTTCTCCCGGGATCAGGGATGGGTATTGCTGTATCGACACCATCTACGCAGAAGGTAAGTAGCTGGTTGTATCTGAATTGTTGTCTTGGACTTCCTACCCTTCTTTTCCTCCTCTGGTTAGCACCAGCATAAAGACTCTTTTGTCCCTTACGCCAGTGGTCGGCTTTTTTCCTTTAAAAAAAATTCACTTGTCTATTATTCAGTATGTCTGTCTTCAGAATTTTAATGAATTAAATATTTAGCTTGTTCTACTGCATCTGGAGTGTTTTACTCTAACACTTCAGAAAGATTTTCCCCAGCATCCTTCATCAGGAGCATGGGGGCTGCTCTGCTGTGCTGTCTGGAACAAAAAGCATGTCTTCAGAGTATCCATGGGGGAGGAGGCTTTGAGGTRGAAGGGCCTGACCCTCAGATGAAGTTTTTAAAGAAGTGAAAAATACTATRAACTATGCCACATAGTCAAGGATTTAGTGGAGAAAAGGGTTATTTTTCTTTATCAATGTATTTCTAGTACAATTAATCTGTTCCTATTGACTTGACAAAACTATACCTAGAGGAAATTTTTCCTTTCTGTTGCCTGACATGATGTGCTTTTTTTTTCATTGTTTAGCCTTTGGTGTTTGGTGCCATGGTACACAGAGATGAAGCTTTTGAGACAATTTTCAACCAATACCTGAAAATAACATCTGCAGCATCTGGCAATGAAAGCTAGTGTCTTATCTTGGAAGAGCTAAAGGAAACTTTCCTGTTTTACGACTTGGTAGTGAAAAAAAATTAACATCCTCATCTATTTTGCAATAATTTTTCTTGTCTGGTGGTTTATATTCTATCTGTTACATAAACCAAGTGTATTTTATATATGCCTTCATGTTTGTTTTTAAGGTTTTTGTAAAAAAAAAAGACAAAAAAAACCAAATGAAACAACACAGTGAAAGTGCTATCATCACTATTAGCCTTGCACATTAAGCACTTTTAATGTTTATTTACTGACATTAAAAGCTGGGAAGATACTCCGAGACCTGACTAAATAACAGATTGATCCCTTTATCTCCACTGATGTCACTAGGGATACATTTGTCTCTTTATTTTAGCTGTTTTTCCCTGAGATGGGAGAATGATGACTGCAGCAGCCTGAAGTCTCCTTCTTCAGCTTTGAGTTTCTAATCGGGTCTTTTAGTAAAACTGATGGCAACACCAAGGAACTATTAGCATTTCAGCATTTCCATATTTACAACTGCATTTTGAATAACTCCTCCTTGCTAATTTTTGCATTACAGAAGGATGCTTTACTGGTTTGATTAACTTCAATTTTTCCTGCATACACATGTTTAAATTGCTTGTACAGTGAATTGGAGGAGAAAGTTTATAACTTCATCTTCCTTTCCTCGTAAACCAAATAAGRGAAAGGAAGGCAGGCAGATACTTTTTATAAAAGAGGGCATCAAAATGTTGTTCCTAAAATGTTAGGCATCATATAATTATATTTCTATAGATACTTGTCCTGGAAGGGCTCAGCTGTTGTACATATTGCATGTACAAGGTGTTTGTATGATAATGCATTAAAGACTTGAAGCTCTTTGTGTTGGGAGAGGTGAGAATAATTAAACTAAACTCAGATGTGACCTTTTTTAATTTGGCATTTCTCTTGAGTTACCTTGCAATAAAAAAAAACTGCTGTAATATAGCAACTAAAAGCACTACTTCCTCTGAAAGCATAGTTTGAGGAGCATTGATGTGCTTCTCTCTTCCCCCCTGCAGAATTAAATTTTAGTAACAATTAAATCCAACTGCCAGGTAAAACAGGAAGGCTGCACTCCTCTAAACTCTCTCAGGCCTGTCTAGCAGCAAAGCACATATTACCTTTGTCTTTAATATTAGAAAGCTTTTATACTCTATATAATAGCACCCATCTGAGAGGTTTAGAATTTTATTTGCATTTTCATGAAAGCACAGTAGGAGTTGTGCCAAGCCTTCCAGAATATCTTTGCTATGTCTTTTGAGTTGAGTAGCATGGATGTCTCCAGACATATGAATGACCCTAAAAAAAAAAGAAATGGAAATGCAAATTCTTATGTGAAAAATGGGACTTAATTTCATGGATTTTTTCTGGTTTTTTTTAACAGGAATTTCCTTTCTTTATGGGAAAGGGTTAAAATGAAGGAGAAAGAAGGGTAGCAAACACCAAAGGGTGTTTAACTCTTAGCACAGTTTTAAATTAAAGTGTGTCAATAAATGCAGTAAATGAAGAAGGTGGCAGTCAAACTGTACAAATCTTATTTTAGTCTGGCCATGGAGAGGTAGGATATGAGAAGTTTATATTAACTTGGTATGAAGAAATACTATTGAATACCATGATTAGGTTGAGTATTGTATAGTGAAAACTGATGGGGCATGCCCTGGGTGGAAATGTGAGCAAGAATGGGGGAGAAACCACTCTGATGGCTAAAATGCAATTTTCAAGTTCTGGCTTTAGAGTAGCACTTGAACATGTCTGTACATGACCTGAAAAATGGGTGCATTTTTAACAGCACCTTTGGTATGCTGCAACTCAGGGCCTGGAAACTTCAAAAATGAGCGAAGCTGTTGGGAAATCCATTTTGCCAATGTTTAAAGTGGATGTAGCTTGACAGTTTATGGTTCCATAACTTTACATCTTCAGGTTATATGTTTAGGTAAAAATTCTTGATCTTAAWTTTTTCTCATCAAAACTACTTTAAAATCAATTAATCTCTTTTTTGTAATTGCTTCATGTTATAATTTGGCTTTCCTTTTTAGAATCTTCCTTGAAGAGTAAGTGTGGCTAACAAATAGGCATTAAAATGGCTTAATGTTATATAAATCTTAATCAGATTCATTCATTTTGTCTTAAGAAAAAGATCCCTTGGATGTGTTTTAAGGTTATCCTTATTTTTTTTTTTTTTGGAAGAAACAGAAAACTATATTTTTTACAGAGAGCATGCTCTTTTTCTTATTTTTGTATCATTTTTCAAGTGTAATTTATACCTTCACTCTGATCATGACAGCARTTTCAGTAGGAAATCAGTTGACTTGCACTTATTACCTCCTCCCCCTGCCACCCTTCACTGGTTGACCCTCTTGTACAGGGGTGTCCTAGATKATGGTTCCTGGAGGAGCTATAGGATCTGTACTGATGGTGCCAGGACAATTAACCATGCCTGGGCTTCGGAGAGGGAGAAAAGATATCATTATCCTTTTCCCAGACTGAGATGCCTCATGTGTACAATATGCTCTTAAAATTTATTTTCTGAAYGAAGAAATTAGAAACGTCTTATAAAATCTGATGTGTTGGCGTTTGAAATGAATCCGCACTTTACCAGTGTGAACTTAAAAGTTGGTGATCCTTAAAGCAGCAAACCTAGTGCAAACTGCAATGCAACATTGGTTCTAATGTAGAGAAAACAGACTGGATTTTTTTTTTTTTAATAGAGTTGTAATATAATTGACAGACATCTGTGTACATATTTTGCAAATTTCACTTTACATTGGGTTATCCGGTTTCCCTGCTGCACAGCTGCTCCACGGTGTCCGTGACTTCAGAGACTGAAGGTAACCTTTGTGTGTTTACTCAGCTTTTGTCCTGCTGCACCCTCCCAGGTCTGGGGGGCAGGAGGGCATGGGCAGTGAGTGAATATATACTCGACTCGTGTAATTACACTGAAGCTCTCACCTTGAATTCCAATCTTCCTACTTARTTTTGCAGCACAGCCTGGTGCACTTCAGGAACAGGCTGGGTCGGAACACTTAATGTAAAGTGCTTCTAAATAGCAGAAAGTGATGTTCTTGTCATTCTGTCTGTCTGATTGCTGTTTATATTTGCAATTCTGTTCATGTCTGTGGATGTCTGGATCATTCACGCGTAATTGGATTTAACTTCTAAAGAAGTTCATTGGTTAGTTTGAGTCCCTTTTAAAGAGAATAAAAAAAGGGAGATGAAAACTGACTAATTCTTTATCAGTGACCATTTAAATTTAAAAGGCGAGACAAGCTGAAATATGAAATCATGCCTTTCTGTGCACTGTAGCTTTTGTGAGGCAAGATTGAATGAAACAAGCTATTTATTAGTAGCAACATCACACAGGATGCCAGCAGCAAAACCCTACCCTCGTTCTGCAGACAAAGAGAAAAGGGATTTTACCTGACTGTGAAGAGATGAAAGGATGTACCTGTTTTTTGGCTACTTAAACCTGTTTGAAAACATTGGTAGTTTTTATTGAACTCTGTACATTTTGGCAGATGTTTAATTTCTACTAATCATTGAAATATAATGGATGTTAAAATTTTTATGTCTGAAGTTTGAGTCTATATTTTGAAATTGTAAATAATTCATTATCAGTGTAACTTTTGTTTGACAAAAGACTTATACTGTATGAATAATTGAAATAATGAAATTATTTGCCCTGTACATTTTTTAAGAAAATCTTGTTTGTTTAAAAAGTCTTGTATAAATTATAATTTTTATTTAAATAAACCTAAAAATGCTTTGTGCTAATGCTTCTTTGTGCTCGTGCTTCTTGCAAACTGCAGTTATTATCTGTCTGCCCTTGGGAATGTAATCCCAGGAGCGAGCTGCCTGCTTATCTAATCCAGACCTGTTTKTTTGTCCCTACAATGCTCCTTTCTGTGTTTGGCTTGGCTGAAATGGATCAGGCTGGGGCGGATCCTCCACACCTGAATGTGTGCTCCTCTCATTTCAATATTTAGTTTTCTCACGGTGGCAGCAGTGCAGCTGGTGATACAATGGTGTTCTACCCTGGTATTTTATGTGTTCTGACAATACTTAACTTGATCAGAGGATACTTAAATTCCCTCTTGTACTGCTTTAATGCATTTTTTGTTAAATATTTGTACAAGACAAGTTGCACCTGCAGCAGTACTAGCAGAAGCTGGATTCAACCCCACCTGCCTGAAGCCTCGTGGAAGGAAAATATGGAGCCTGGAAGTCTGGTTTTGGCTGTAGACTTTGTGTGTGTGGGGGCACAGGGTGTTACTGGAAATAGTGCTTGTTGTCTCAAGGTGACTTCAGCAGCCCATGAAAAGCACAGGAATGAGCTGCTCACCTGCTCTCCTGTAACTCCTGCTGCAGAAAGGAGGCTTCCAGCCACAGTCTGCAGTGCCAGCCACACACACTGGCTTTGTGCACGTGAGCAAGGCATGGCCTTGTGCAGTCCTGGACTAATGGCCAARGGCAGTTAGAGCATTCAGCTTGGACAAGCTGAGGAGGTTTTGCTGTTACATTAAAGTAATTTACAAGTCTGAGTTCTGCTGAATCCCTGGAYTCACTAAATTGCTCTCATTAGACAGTTTTAGGATAGGCTAAATGTTTTATACATTAATTATTGGCTCATCTTAGACKTCTAAATATTTTTATTTCAAAAGTAATGAAAAAATACTAAAGCCGTGAGGAATTAATTTTCTGTCCTAGAGAGGCTGGGATATTGCAAAGGGAGCAGTCCCTTGCAGCAACAATGTGCTCACTGAGCTGTGGATGCTTTGGAAGTTAGGTGGGTGTAATGTGCTGCCTGAGGGATGTGGTTGTGAACATGTCTTTAATTCTATATTTAGCTTGAACTGATGCTCTATATGGCCAGGTTGGATTTGATGGGAAAGGAGAGAGAGCAATGAAGGGAAGATAAATAGCTTTTTCTGTGTTTAAATAGCTGGCACTTTTCTGCACCTTGTGAGCTTCACAGCCTAGTTCAGATGTGCATTAGGCAGAATTTCTGATTTTTCAAATTGTTGCATCYTCCACTGAAGTTCCTTCATCTTTGCCAATTTCCGTGAAAAATAGTTGCATATGGATAATGATCTTCAGCTTTCCTTTTGCACTATGCTTTCCTATTAAATACTAAATGTGTTTATTCTGTAGCTTCTGCCTTATGTTTCACTCTCCACTAATTATCTGTTTATGGTTTTTGTTTTTTTCTTCTTCAATTTTCCTCATGTACATATACAAACTTTCCTCCAAAACCAAACTGAGACCTTGGCCCATTTGGCCTTTTCCATCCCTTTTCTTACCTACTGCCCTTTATTTCATCTCAGGGTGGTCTCATGTGATTAGATGTATTAGCATATGTATTCCTAGGGCAGAAATTTCTCTTGATCCTCCYTTCACTTTGTAATTTGTGGCTGGCTTTAACCTTGCAGTACAGCTGAAMGTTCAAGATTAATTATGTCCGAGAGAAGTTGCTCTTTTTTTCATTCCTGATTTTCCCAAATTTCTGCCTTGCTGTCTCTGACAGTTTTGCATTGAGAACTTTTCCACTGGTTCCTTTTACCCRTTTTTCTCCTTCAGCATTGTTTTTCTTCCTCTCACAAAAATAACCCTGTAATTTCCATCCTGATTATTTAGAGATACTGACTGACCATGTCCTGATGAACATGTCACAGGTTCACTGAAGCTGCCTTC